AGCACACAACCAGCTCTTCAGGGCAAAGTGGTGTACACAACCCTACCCTGAATTTTCAGGGTGTAGCACTCAATCTTCACCCCTTTACCAGGTCAAAAAGCAGACCTAGAAGTGATCATACAAGAAAACTAAGTTGGTAATCAGAAAGAGAAGTGGATTCTGATTTCTTGGGTAAACCATTGACTGGAGCGTGTCGAGGCTGCTAAGTGTGCATTCAGCAGTGGGTGTGACCAGGGCGAGTCCCGGCATTTGAAAAGCCGCTACTGTAGCCGTTCTCCTGTGGGTTGAGACCCCTTTGGGAGTGAACAACCCTTTCACAGGGGTCGCCTAAGACCATCGGAAAACACATATTTTCAATGGTCTTAGGAAGCGAGACACGGCTCCTCTATCCGTCTCCAGGCATGTATGCCCACATGCAGATTTGCTGATCTGGTGAGAAAGAAGTTACGTATCTCAACCTTCCTCAACCCTCCCTCACACTAATATTGGCTTTTTACTCATGTCGCAAAATGTAGCAATGTAGTTTACTGTTGTTTTATTAAGACTGTTACCCAAGCTATACCATGCTTCAAGACAAAATTTCATTTATTTGTAACTAGAAATAAGTATTTCACAATATATCATTACATTGTTTTTGTGATTAATCGCTATGCTTTAATTATGTTCAACTTGTAACAATTAAAATACATCCTGCCTGTCAGCTATTTACATGACAATTCATACCAGTAGCAAAATTACAGTGATGAAGTAGCAACGAAAATAATGTTATGGTTCGGGGTCACCACAACACTAGGAACTGTATTAAAGGGTCGCTGCATTAGAAAGGTTGAGAACCACTGTTCTACTGTAAAGCTAGCTGGGGGAGGGGTCACCCAGGATTACGCTACAGCACAAGCTGCCTCTAGAACAATATTTTAAAAGCCAACCACACAACATACCATTTGGTGAGGGAACAGGAAGGAAAAAACTTAAAAGGGAAAAGGCATTAGCATGGATGTTAAAATGAACTTCTCTGAAATCAGACTTGTTGATAAGTGACCTTGACCCCAAGTTCCTTTTTTTTTTCTTCAAAGTTCCAATTTTATCCTAATTGGACCTAGCCATGAGTGAGCTTTTATGGCTCTACTTATTTACTTACCACTGCAGCTATTTATTTCTGAGAAAACCTTGACCTTACTGATGACCGAGCAGATCTACCCACCAGAGGGACCTAACTTCCACTATCCAACTGAGGCCTTCCCCAGTCTGAAACAGCAAGCTTATAAAAAAAAAAAACGCCATTACAATAAAAAAAGAAAGAAAGAAAAGAAAAACCCTTCGTTTAAAAATTCTGAACCCCAAAAGCCAACTGCAGCCTTTGTTGCATTTAAGTATCCTTGGCGGGCCCTCTCAGGAGCCCTTGTTAACTAGGGTCCTGGGAACTGCAAGTCCCAGAAACCAGCTCTAACTTGAGCTCCGTATGGAGCAGTTTAGGTTTTCCACCTGAGCCAGGGTCCCCAAACCAGCCCCCTCCACCGGCCCCCGCCCCCGATCCCCTGACACACACCGTATTTTGGCCTCACTCAAGTCCCATGAGGTCCCACCGCTACCGAAAGCTCCTGGTTTTGTCCTCTGTGGGGCTGAGGCTTGACCAGTACTAGCTACCCTGTTTCCCCGAAAATAAAACAGTGTCTTATATTGATTTTTGCTCCCAAAGACGCGCTAGGTCTTATTTTCAGGGGATGTCTTATTTTTCCATGAAGAAGAATACGGTACACATTTATTGTTTATTGTTTTATTAAAAGAGACCTTGCACTTCCTGTCTGCTCCAGCCGCTGTGGCCAACAGTGAGCTGTGCGGTGGTGCCCACCGCTATAGTCAAGAGTCCAGAGTTACGGTAGCTTCGGGGGGCCTTATTTTCGGGGAGGTCTTATTTTCCGGGGGATGCCGTATATTTCAGCGAGAGACGAAACTGTACGTAGGTCTTATTTTCGGGGGATGTCTTACTTTCAGGGAAGCAGGGTAGGTCTCCGTGACTTTGATTGGAACACATGCCTTCTGCCTGAACCAATCACTATGGCCAGAGAATGCGATTGGCTGAGAACCACAAGAAGTGAGGGATGCGGCGGGGGGAGGGGGACTGCCCCAGAGAGAAACTGGAGTATAAAACCCAAAGACCACTAAGTGGGGTCAGATGCTCTCTTTCTCTGCACTCTGCCTCATTGCTACAGAAGTGGAACGCTTTGGTCCTGAGACATGCTCTCCCCTTGCGGTACCTTCGCAAGGCATAGGAGGGGGGCTTTGGAACGTTTGAGGGCGGAGTTCTATGGTCTCTTCATTCCACTTTCCCATGAGCTTTTTGAAGCCCCTTCATAATTGCCTAAGAGGCCCCGTGAGCATCTCAGAGCAACAGTGACTCCAGTACCATTGTCAATCATCACTTTCTAGAAACCTGGGGTGAGAAGCATCAGACCGGCCCTTCTGGCCTTCTGTGGATCAGTCAATAGCTATACACCAGTGAGGACAGGTCACAGGTGTGGTGGAGTGAAGGCGGCTCCTGAAGAGGGCGGGGTGAGGACAGGATGGGATGGGTGCCTCCCCTCCGGAAAAGAATTTCTGCAGAGACTAGGATCGTGTTAGTAGACAAATCAAAATGACCGCTAAGCTACCTGCTGATGTTATATTGTTGTTAGAGGCTGTGGACGAGGTTCGGACTCATGGTGACTGTACAACAGAGCAGAACACTGCCTAGGCCAGCATCACTCTCACGATCATGGTTAGGTTTGAGCCTGTGGTTGCCTCCTCTGTGTCAGTGCATCTCCTGGTCCTGCCCTTTTTGGTGTTGTTGACCCTCAGCTGTACCAAGCACGATGTGCTTTTCCAGGCTCTGGTCTCTCTTGACAGGAGCCCCGATGGCATTATCCGGTCAGCACTGGGCTGCAAGTCAAATGGTCGATGGTTCGAACCTACCAGGCACCCCACAAGAGGAAGTTAAAGTTATCTGTTCCCATAAGGATTCACAGCCTGTCTAAGGCCACCATGAGTTGCAATCTACTCTATGGCAGTGAGTGTGGTCTCCCCACACTTGGTCCTAAGGAGCACTCTGGCTGTACCTTCTTAGAGACAGGTGTCTTTGTTCTTCTGGCAGTCGTGGTACTTGAAGATATTCCTCACCAGCATCATCATTCCAATGCTTTGATTCTTCCTTCGTCACTGTCCCAACTGTCACCTGCATCTGAGATGATGGAAAATGCCATAATGAGGGCCAGGTGTACCTTTGTCCTCAAAGTGACACCCTTGCTCTTTAAACAGGTCCTGGGCAGCAGATTTGCCCAATGCAAAATGTCATTGACAGGTGCCCCCCAAACTTTGCAAAGTCCCACGCCTGGTAAGAGATTGGCAGTGGGCCAATGTCGTGGTGAGAGCTGGCCCAGGTAGCTCCCGGTGATGGCACATGGGTGCTTGATTTCCCTGACACCCTTCTCAGTGACTCCAAGAGTCGGCCTATGGCTGCACGCTGCACGGGGTCCTTGACCTGCTGGTCAAGACGTGAAGGTTGGGTCAGGAGTCCATCTGCTGAGGTTATAGACAGTTCTGTCTGCCGGTGCCCGATGTTGGAAGCATCCTATCTGTCCCCTCTTTAGGAGTCTCAGAGCGCATGCTGTTTCCATGTGCAGAAAGAGTGGCTTACACCCAGGGAGAATGGGTATGTGGCCTGCATGGACCACAAGCCCCTGCTGATGGCTGAACGTGGCTGCTGGATTCCACAGTGTGTTCTTCTGGCAGGAGAATAGAGAGGGAGGGAAAGCCACTGGTGAAGGAGGGGGACACAGAGGAGGGGAGGGGGAGGGAGGGGAATGTGAGAAGAGGAAGCAAGGGCCCAGAGAGAGAGAGCTGAGACCTGATCCCAGCTCCATCTCCACCACCGCCAACTGGACTATGGCCAAACGCCACGCCTCCCCCAGCCTCATTTATAGCCCAGGAGCAAGGTGCTCTCCTGCCCTGAAAGGTCATAGTGAAGGCTGGGTAATTTCAGCGCACGAAAGACAGCACTCCTAAGGTCATCATTAACTGCCTGGCAAGACGGGGTAGCATGAAACACAGGCCAGAGCCAGGCGGCAGGCCCGCTCAGCACTTGTATTGCTCCCAGGCGAGGTGGACGCTGATGGAGGTGCACGGGCAGCAGTGTGCCCCAGGGTGGAACCCCGCAGGGTTCTCACCACCGATGCTCCTGGAGCAGCTGCTGAGAGTCAGATGGGGGAGTGTGCCGAGTGAAGTGGGGAGCTCGCCGCCAGACAGAGCCTCTCTCCAGATGAGGAAGAGAGATCAGGATGTAGAGCCGGGCGGCTGCTCTGGAATCGCAGTGTTGTGCCCATTTGTTCTTCTCCCTCCGTGTGAGGATCTATTGCCGCCAGTAGTCCCTATGTGGTGCAAACTGTGAACCCACTCTACTCCTCACCGGAAGGTTAGCAGATCGAGCCCACCCACAGGCATCTCAGGAGAAAGGCCTGGTGCTCTACTTGGAAACCAGTCACTAAGAGCCCTGTGGAGCCCAGCTGGCACACCTGGGCTCTCCACATACACTGAGTGAGGTCGAGGACCACTGGGTTTTGCTGTGTGCCAGGCGTTCATTCTAGTTGGTGTGGCTACAATGATGAGCAAGATAGGCAAAGGGTACCTTATCTCTTAAAAGTGACTATCTATGAGCTCGGCAGTTCACAACCAGACCTGAGACCTTAGGAAGGACCACGCTCAGCCTCAGCCTCCTTCCAGCGGGTTGGAGTGTTGGGTTTATTAAATACATGAATGCATGTGCCCACCAGGCTTGAAGGACAGCACGCCTAGTAAATTAACAAGGGTATGACAGGCTGCTGTGTGGCCTGCGGTAAGTCCAGGAAGCCTTTGGGGGGCGGTCACTCATGAGCAGAGGCCCCAGGCTACAATTCTATGCTTGGAACAAAGGGGCGGAGACCACCCAAGCTGATTATAACCTCTCTGGCCCCTCCTGTCTGACCCTGCAGGCCTCCTACCCATGGGTGAGGAGTCCATCCCCCTGGCCAAGGCCACAGCCACCTTGGACCACACCGCAGCCGAGCCAGTCGCCCTCGCCGTCTCAGTTCCCTGTCCACCAAAGCATGCGGCCAGTGCAGAGGAGCTGGTCCCAGAGCTTCCCCAGGCCCACCAGGATCCAGCCCAGCTCCTCCAAGCGGCCTGGGAGCGCCGGCGGGAAGATGTTCTCATTTGTGGTGGACAAGACCCGAAAGTCTCCGGCCATCAATCAAGGTAGTCATCGGCACCTATGTTTGCGGCTTGTGGGGTGGATCTACTGGCACGAGGGCGGTCCTTCATTCTTGTTCTCATTTGTCTTATTCTAAAAGAAAGACAGTCCACGGGGAGGGGGGCGTGCACGGAAATGGACATCAAGTAAGACAAAGGTTGAAAATCAGTTGTATCCTGATCACACTGGTCCCTCCCCCCGTTGACTGTTGACTGTTTGGTGTACATCCTTGCACACTCTGGCCAGATGCACACATCAGTAAGCCCCTGGGTGAGTGTGTGCACGTGTAGACACACGTACGAATATATAGATGCCTCTACATGTAGACACCTCTACACTTTCACTTAAATGTGTAGAATTCTCTGTAACTGAACACCACCACCCCTTGCCCTCCACAGCTCTAGAAGGTTTTAAAAATAAGTTTCTTACTATATTACACATGGGAAGGAGGCTGGGGTCTATCAAAAGTCACTTCCCCAGAAGAAACATATATGACCTCATCTAATTGTGTTCAATCAAATTACAGGATTATCTCAGCCGGGCTGATAATTAAACTCAATGCTGGGCTGCTGTAGGCTCCACCGGGCCTCTAGGACTTCCCCCCACCCACCGCCCCACCCACCACCACCACCACCACCACACACAGACACCTACACCCTGGAAGAACTCTTGACCTTTGGGGAAGAGATACACTTCCTGCCTCACCAGGCCAACTTCATCCCTGGGCACATGTAGTATTAAATTTAAAAAATGTCACCGAGGGAGGTGGGTGAAGGGCCAGCCCCCACCCGCTGCTACTCCTACGAGTTCAGTAATACTACTTCTGGGTTCAGTAATGCACAGTTGTATGGTTAAGATATATAAGTATTATATTAAAGTCATTGAGAGCATGAGAGATATTACGATAATACTGTCAGACACATTACATGATACCATCGCTTGCCTCAGCCCAGCTTGGTGGTCCACGTGGAGAGAGGGGGAAGGGAAGGAGGGGAAGGGAACAAGGGAGAGGGGAGTGACCAGGGAGTGAGCAGCAAGGAGCTCAGAGTCAGAGAGAGAAGTCCGAGAGCCTATATTGCTGACCCTTGCCTATATACCTTTTGGGGGCAAGCCAACCCACTAATTACAGGTAGAGACATACGTCACAGGGAGGGGTTGCACTATAGGCTACACGGCAATGAGAGGGTGGTCTAGGGGGTGGTCTCTGGGTCTCCATAGGAACCATTATCAGTAGGGTGCGAACTCCGCCCACAGGAACCAAACTAATGGCCTTAGGCTCCAGAGAGAGGTAACCCATTGTCTCTAGCATCAGGGAGCAGGCCCACCCCTCTGGAGGGATGAGACAGCAGTCTGGCAGCAAGTATCTGACTTCCCCCCACTGGCACACTGGTTTCAGATCTCTAAAACAGCCAGAGCACTCCTTAGAGGTACGCATAACAATACTTCGTCTGACGTGCTTGGGACATGTCGTCAGGAGAGACCAGTCCCTGGAGAAGGGCATCAGGCTTGGTCAAGTGGAGGGCAGTGCAGGAGAGGAAGGCCCTGGACAGGGTTGATACTGTCCGTGGCTGCAACAATGAGCTCGGGCGCAGGGCCGCACGACTTCACTCGGCTGTGCACAGGGTCACTGTAGGTTGTAACCAACTGGTTGATAGCACTAACCACAGCACTAGCTTGGGATGTTTGGGTACACAACTTAATTTCACCTTGATTTCTGATGGCAAGGCTTCTCCATCCTCTTCCCTGGCTGCTCTTGTACCTTCAACCACCTCTTGGTCTCACTCCTGACTATTCACTGAGACAGTCTCCTCAGCCACGAAGACACGTACTGTTAGAAAATACAAACTGCGGAACAAATGAAATGTCTCACTCCAGTTTGCATCACTTCTTTGTCATCCTCAAATGTATCCCGCGGATCCACCACCCAAGAAATGACTCGGCCATTTCCCCACCGTGTTTTGTTGTAGATGTCCACACACAAACAGAAACACCAAGGGACTTTTAATGATCTTATGGTGAACACCACACATTCACTAGCTTTATCAGCTTCTTGCTACACTTCACTGTGTAGCTGACTCCCTCTTCGTTATTTCACCTCATTTCTCACGCAGTTCAAAGTGAATTTCAGACATCTGTACACCTCCCGATAGCGCTGGAAAATGCCACTCAGGTTGGAAATCTCTCACAATATGACCGGGGAAGAGCTGCCTCCCTAATCGCGGAGAGCGAGCAAAGCTAATGGGGACTTCATGTGCTGATGTGGCACAACTCAAAATGAGAAGGAACAGCCGCAAACACCCATTCATAATCAAAACCTACAATGTGCGGAAGCATGAACGCAGGAAAATTTTCCAAAGTCAAATGACATGCATACAGGTTGATATCCTCGGCAGTCGGGAGCTCCAGTGGATGGACGGCATTGGCCATTTTGAATCAGACAATCACATGGTTTACCGGGCCAGGCATGTGGCACAGTTCACAGGAATGGCATCACACTGCCAAAAAGGGAATGGCAAGCTCTATCTTGGAGTACAATGCTACCTGTGACCAGATAATAGCCATATGTGAACAAGAAGACCAGGTAATACCACTGTTATTTGAGTTTACGCCCCAACCATTACAGCCAGTGATGAAGAAATTGAAGAATTCTACCGACTTCTTCCGTCTGCCATTGATCAAACATGTCATTCCTGGTGGTGGGAATGCAAACGCTGGAAACCAAGAGGAAGGAGCAGTGGTTGGAAAACGTGGCCTTGGTGATGAAATGGAAGTAGGAGATCGCATGATAGAATTTGGCGAGACCCGTGACTCGGGGTCTTTCGTGAAGTTGTAATCAAACGACGGGCCAGGACTACGTTCATCTGCAGGCTCACCTAGAGCTGAAGCACCTGCACTCAAGGTGGCTCCCACTTACCTGGCTGTTTTCAGGAGGCCTCAGGTGGACATATCCATGGGGGAGCCCAGCAATGTCCTCACAAAAGAGCAGATGTCTTCTCCAGAGCAAAGGGATCCCAGAGTGCATGCAAGAAGCTGCGCTGTCTTTTATGATCTCGCCTCCGGATTCAGACCCCATCATTCCCCTGATCTGTTACACAGGCTAGCCCCGCACCATGTGAGGAGACCCTACAGACGGGCTTGAATATCAGGAAGAAAGATTACCAGGGGCCTTTTGGAGGCTGCCTGTTACGTTTGCCCTCTGATCCCAAATGGTTTATGTGGCAGTTATGCAGTTTCATGTCATCTTGATAAATAAGAATGAAGGGGCGGAGTCAATCAGGTCCCTCAATCCCTCTTTGTGGGTGTGGCCTTCTCATGAGGATTCTGGAAACTTCCCCTCTTCCTCCCTGAAGGTGGGCCACTCTCTCTCTCTGCCTGCTTTGCCTTCCTGTTGACAAGCCACATGGAGCCACGCTGAGGCAGCCAGACCCCTGGAGATGCTTCCACCGCCACTGGATCCACAAGACTTTCCACCCACAGGCCTGTGATCGTCCTGCATTTGGCATCATTGCATATGCTTTGTGAGTCTGAAGAGGAATTCATGGGCTAATATTGGACATATGAGCTACTATCGAACTTGTGGACTTGATCTAGGCTGGGCTGGGGTGTTTTATTGATGCATAATTACTTCTTGATATAAAGTTCTCTCTTACTCATTATGTGAATGTCCTTGGATTTGTTTCTCTAGTCAACCAGGTCTGACACAGTTTACATCCTCCTGCATATAAAATGCCCTTGCCCCCTCTGGAGATTCCTAAACTGCTGATCCCTTTAAAGCACTAGTTCCAAGTCAAGAATCTCATCGGCTAAATCACATGCTCGCCACATGAGCCTCATTGGGTGTAGCTCCTTCAGAGCAAGTTCTATTGCTCTGGAGACCTGTGAACTAACGTGACTGCTAGTGTTTCCTGCACACATCCAACAACCTGGGAGAATGTCTACAGACACTCCTGTTCCAAAAGGGGGAAACAGGAGACAAGAGCCACTGGCCCACCAACCTTCTTAAATCCTGCGGGGGAAATGTTGGGAGTTCCTCAATCTTACTCTGTTCAAGAGTGATTTTCTGAAAATGCTGGGCTCTTAGTTCTACCCATTGAGCCATCTTACTTTTGCCATGAAAGGGATCGTTTTCTCAGTCTGCTTCCTGCCTATGGAGGCCTCTTTTATTTTTACATTTAGTCCAAGCTGGCAGTGTTTATGGCTGAGGTTCAATCTATCTGACAAAAGCCCTACCCACACATTTCTTTGACTTAAGCCCTCTCTACCTTGGGATTCTGCAGAGACTTTCGAAGGGCAACACCCTTAAGCTTCTTAGAAGCTGTATAGTTTGACTGAGTCATTTAATTTCTCAACTGTACGGCTTGATTGAGTAATTCTCAGAAGCTCTACGGTTTGAGTAATTCTCTTGAGCACAGTCTTGGATCTTTCTGAGTTCTTTGCAAAAGATGGTACATTCACACCCGTGGCTTCATCTTTAGGTCATGTCTTTGGAGAGTGTCCTTGATGTGACGGTTAACCAGAATGGATTTCTCAAATTTTGTTGCCCTTCTGGAGAGGTTGAGAATTTTCAAACCCAGTACTTCAAGTCGTGCTTCGCTGTTTGTTGAGCGTTTTTTCCGTTAGCTTACAGAGTCCAGCTGGCGCAGTGGTGAAGCACCCAGGTGCTAACTGAAAGGCCGGCTGCTGAAACCCACCAGACCTGTGGGAAAGAGCTATGGGAGTCTGCTTTGGTCCAGATGACAGCCTGACGGACCCCACAGGGATGTGCTTCTCTGTCTTATGGGATGGCTTCAACTTGATGGCAGCATTCAGTGAGGAGGGCAAGGGAATCGTGTGTCCAAGGGCCAGGTGGTTGGTGGGGGAGGGGCTGCGTGTACAGAGGCCCTATCATGGGTTCCAGGAGATGGTCGGGGTAGCTGAGAGATAAGCTCCATGAGGAAGGAACCTAGCATGAGTCGGACCTCATGCAAGGAGAAGCGGGCAGCCACAGGAGGGTACTAGGCAGACAGGAAGTGTCTGCAACCAGGAGTTGGAATACGTTTGACACAATAATTTCCTCTTTGGAAATGTTTTGTTCAAGAGCCTTGGCTCACGGCCTCATACAGATCATAGGAGAGACCCAACTCATTACAAAGCGGAAGCAGGATTTTCCTGTGATCCCAGCTTCCCTGGGCTGTACACAGAGAGGGAAGGCTGGGCATTCAGCCCCTTTTCTTCCTGTGGCCTCAGAAGCACAATGGACAAGTTCAGTCTCAGCCACTTTCAAGCTCACACATTCCCCAGGTCCCTCGGGCCAGTGCCTGCGTCCACTAGCTGTGCAGGGTCCACAGACAAGTTTAAGACACCGGAGAAAAATCATTGGCTCGAAAGTACATAAATACTAATGCAGAATAAAAAATGAATAAATGATTAAGTAAAATATCCACAAGTGTGAGGGTGCAAACTTCATTACTAATGGTAATATTCATCAATGACTTATGACGTTGGAAAATGGTTGGTTCGATTTCTTATTTGCCGAGAAGACAGAGAAAGAAAAAGGATTGCCCAGAAGCCATGTTGCCCTTGTTGCTGCGGGGTGTAGGGGGGTTGGCCCCAACTCCCAGCGATCCCGTGCCGAGCAGGACAAAATGCTGCCCGGTCCTGGGCCATCCGCACAGGTCTTGTCATGTTTGAGCCCATAGTTGCAGCCACCGTGTCCCTCCATCTCCTTGAGGGTCTTCCTCTTGTTCACTGCCCCTCCACTTTACCAAGTGTCATGCCCTTGTCCAGGGACTGGTCTCTCCGGATACCGCGTCCAAAATACACGAGACACCACATCTTGTCATTCTCCCTTCTAAGGAGCTTTCTGGCTGTTCCTCTTCCAAGACGGGTTTCTTTGTTCTTTCGGCAGTCCATGGTCCTTTCAGGATTCTTCTCCGGCACCACAATTCAAGCTCATCGATTCTTCTTCTGTCTTCTTTATTCAATGTCCAACTTTCACATGCACATGAGGCAATTGAAATACCATGGCTTGAGGCAGGTGCCCCTTAGTCCTCAAAGTCACATCTCACTTTTCAACATTTTCAAGCGGTCTTGTGATGCAGATTCACCCAATGATGAACCCAATGTGATGTATCGTTTGATCTCTCATTTTAAGTTTTTTTAAATTTTAATATGTATATATATATATATATATATATATTTCATAATCCAATCACATCAAGCAGATTTGTACAATTGCTACCACAGTTTCCAAACATGGACTCCTCCATCGCCCCTCCACCACTTTACTCCCCTCTCCCTGAAACCCGTATTCTACTGGCTGTCTCTCTAGGGTCACCAATCCTGGGTTTCATATACTGAAAAATGGAAAAATATATAACATAACAAGACACCTCTGAGATATACCCTAATATGAACAAACAAAACATTATGAACCAAAAATACAGAAAAATTTGGAAGCCAGATCAGGTCCAGCATGCATCGTAGTGGGATCTACTGACACAGTTTTAACTGTTCAAGCCAGATTTCCCCCTTTGATCTTCTACACTCCTCTCCCCAAAGCTCTCTGTTTAGTAACCACTTTCCTCCCATCCCCCAATTGTAGATAAAGGAGGTTCTCCAAGACTTATTTCCTGTGTAGAGCCACAAATGAGTCTTGGGCTCCCACTGTCAACCGTAGCCTTCTGTACTCCGGATTTTCACAATTTAGGCTCTGATACTAGTCCCTCCCCTGACTTCGAATTACACGGAGTCCTTCGATGACTGATGACGGTGTGCTTCTTCCATGCGGACTTAGTTGACATCTCACTTAGATGGCTGCTTGTTTGGAAACAAGTCTTTAAAACCCCAGACACTCTTTTATCTGACAGCCAGGATGGTAAATGATCTTTATGCTTTTCATTTCTTTCTTGACAACTTCCAATTGTCCTATATTTGTACCTTTCGCATTCCAAGTTCTAATCATGAATGCATGCTGGCAGCCGTTTCTTCCCAGTTTGAGTCTTGCCCCTCAGTAATGAAGGTCCTGAGGGCTGCGTTCCTGGAGGCTTACTCCTTCCTCCTCGTCATGGCCAACCGGACGGGGAGCAGGCAGCTCTTCCTCAGTCAGACTCGGAGCGCCTCCGCATCTGAGGAGCTCGCGTTCCAGCATTCTCTCCAACGATGTTTTGCTTCCACTCAGGAGAGTTTCCGTGGCTGCTTCCTGTGAAGCAGACACCCGAATCCTTCTTCTTCGTCTGCTCTCTTTGGGTGACCCGACTGGTATTTTAAATAGCAGTGACATCGCTGCCTGAGCCACCACAGGATGACAGCCTGCCAGGGCGGCTGATCTTGAGCTTCTCGCCGGCATCTTCCTCCAGATTCCGTCCGCTTGATGTCTGTGTGCCGTCTGGAGAAGTCCTTTTGTGTGGGGGCAAAGACGCTATTTGTGATGAAGGAGTTGGTCTTGCAAAGGTTTATCAGACCTTCTTCATTTCTGCCACAAAGGTCACGATTTCCAATTACTATTTCTTCCTCTTCGCTTCCAGTGTCACATTCTAATCACCAATACCTATCAGTACATATTGATCTCATGTCTGATCAATTTCATACGGAAGAAGATGGTGGAATTGTTTGATTTATCTTTAGCCCAGTGCTTGGTGCGTAAACTTGAACAATAGTTGCGTTGACTGGAGTTTCTTGTCTATGGGTGGATGCTGTCCTACCACAGACAGCACTGTACTTCTAAGTAGATCTTGAAATGTCCTTTTTGACGATGAATGGGACAGCAGTCCTTGAATTTGTCATTTTCCAGCATAGTAAACTATATGATTGCCAGATTCAGCATGGTAATTGCCAATTCATTTCAGCTCACTAATGCGTAAGATATTGATCTGTATGCATTCTGCTGGTAGTCTATGTTATATTCAATATTATTCATCAATACCCTATTCAAAGTCATTCATTCTTCTTTGATTTTCCTTGCTCACTGGGTGATTTTTGCATGCATATGGAGAAAATCGGAACACCAGGGCTTGGATCGGGTGTGCCTTAGTCCTCAAAGTGACATCTTTGTTTTTCGACCCTTTAGAAAGGTCTCTTGTAGCAGATGTGCCCAATCTGATACATCCTTGGACTGCCTGACAGCTGCTTCCATGGACCTTGATTGTGGATTCATTTCAAGTAAAATGAAATCCTTGGTAGCTCCAATCATTTCTTCGCTTCATATGATGTTGCTCATTGGTCAAGTAATAAAGATTTGGGATTTTTTTTACCCTGAAGTGTAATTCATAATAAAGGCTAGTTTTTTATTTTCATCGTCAAGTGTTTAGGTCCTCTTCACGTTCAATAAACAAGACTGTGTCACCCGTAGACAGTAGGTTGTCGGTGAGTCTCCTGCTAACCCTGACGCCACATACTTCTTCATGTGATCCAGCTTTCCAGAAATCACAGTCAGCTAGAAGTTCAAAATACGCAAGTAGGAGCCAGTGACTCTCAGAGCAGGATTCTGGAAATCTTTTCAAAATGTATATACACAAACGCATCCACTGTTGACTTCAATAAGTTGCAATACATTTGATATGAGCTATGGGAGGAGCCTCCAGGCAAAGCAATGCCAGCACCTCTGGAGGCTGTTGAAACACTGGGTGGTATAAGAAGAAAAAATCATCAGAAAAGCCTAAGCGTCCATCACGTGGGTCTCTAAGCTCTGCTGCCTTTGGACGAGGGGCTACAGCGCTGATGTTACAGAGAATGGGACCACTACACATCCTGACGTGGGAGGATGCCCGGCTTTCTTTGCAAGTGAGAAAAGCAACTTGGAAAAGAATGTCTGCAATGAGATTACATTTTTCTTTTTTAATTATATCAATACTTGAGTGATATACTAACAATGGAAATCAGTAACATCTAGTGTTACCTTAGGAGCCAGCAATCTTTTTATGCAAAGAGCCATAGAGTAAACATTTTTTTCTGGGCCATACAGTCTCTGTGGCAAGTACTCAGGTAGTGTGGAAGCAACCATTGGCACTATCGAAACAAACAAATGACAGTAACCAGGTTACAATAAAATTTTATTTACAAAAACAAACGAGGGGCCAGTTTCAGCCCCAGGATTGTAGTTTGCTAACCTCTGTTCTAAATCAGTATGCCACTTACTTCCTGTAACGGTCCTTTATAACAGAGACTATGAGTGTCACTCTGCTATACCTGTGGAGACTAAGGCTTACCCATTAAGGGATCTGCTCAGTGTCATGTGACTTTTAAAAAATCCTGGAAAGAGACCCCTCCCAGCAAACAGCACCATTAGCACTGGGGAAGAGGATGGGGCGGGGCTCTCCCTTTGCAAGATTTCTGCAACGTTCTCATCGGTTTTCAGTGAACATATATGCTGCTGAATCGTTTTGAAATTGGATAAGATGTAAAAAGGGGACATGAACTTGAAGGTGAATCGGGAAACTCTCTCGAGGAGGCCCTCGGGAAACTCACAGTCGTGCTCTGTGCTCCCTGTTGATGTTGTGTGTTAGTGTGGACCAACTCTGTGGACCTGTCTGGACCAGGAAAGGCCGAGGGACTTCCCAGCGCAGCACCTTCCAGAGAGATCTTTGCCAACCAGGACCTGGCCCAGCAGGACAAGGTGAGGGG